CCTATCCTAGGGGGGTTCCAGTAATTGGCACCTGCCCACAAGCAGACATAAGCTGCTACCCCCCCCCCCCAACCACACACACTACATTGGTCAGCCCCACAGCCTCGCCCCCCCACACACACTACCTTGGCCACGCCCCCCCCCCCCCCGCCCCCAGAGCTGAGATACCCACAGGCCTGGGCCAGAAGCTCACATCCCCATGGCTGGCTGGCCTCCCATCCCCCCATTCGCTGCCCCCCCAGGGGACAACTGCCCCCCGCAGCTCCCCAGGCACTGCCCCCCCCAAGGGAAGGCTCCCTCCCCCCAGCTCCCCAGGCGCTGCCCCCCGCCCCCGGTGTGCTGTTGACGGCTGCTGTGCCCCCCAAGGCTGTCAGCAGGGGGGCGGGGGGGCACCGTGAGCGGCTGCTGGCCTTGTGACTCCCAGGGACAGAGGCCCGCGCAGGGAGCCGGGAGCTGTCGGTGCCAGGGCGGGATGGTGCACACAGCGCTCATTGTACCACCTGCCCGCCCGAGGGGCAGCCCCCACCCCACAGCTCCGTGGGGGAGGGCACCTTGGGTGAGTCCTGCCCAGGGCCGGGAGTCCCTGTCCTGCCCCCCCAGGATCCCAGACTTGGGGGGCAGAAAAACGTCACACGGACAGGTGCGTCTATGCCCAGCGTGCCTGTCTGCGGCCACAGAGCATAGATCATGGGGCAACAAAGGGACCTGGCGCCCCAAGGGAGGCAGGAAGGGGTCACCCCCCCACAGTGCACCGACCAGGGAGAGCTAGAAACCCCTCCCCCCACCATAATAAAGAAAGGCCCATGCTCCACACCTCCCCCCAAGCTTACCCACTGTGGCGTGCCCCACTCCCCCCATGGCAGCACCCGGCGTGCCACGCCCCATGCCCCCTTTGCCCCCCCACATTCCCCAGCATGATACGCTCCCTTCCCCAGCACCACAACACTTCGAGGTCAGAGACACCCAGCAGAGCCAGCTGTACCCACCCACACAGCACCACAACACCTCGAGGGTCACGAGACACCCGGCTGTACCCACCCACACAGCACCATAACACCTCGAGGGTCACGAGACACCCGGCTGTACCCACCCACACAGCACCACAACACCTTGAGGGACACGAGACACCCGGCTGTACCCACCCACACAGCACCACAACACCTCGAGGGTCACGAGACACCTGTCAGACGTGGCTGTACACCCCACGCAGCCCCAGAAGGAAGAATTTTAGGCCTGATAAAAGAAACCCAACAGAGGCGTCGATGAGGATTTAAGAAGCTACATGGGAACGTCAGGCTCCGAACGCTCTGCCACAGGCCCCTTCGGACCGAGGCCGTTGTGTTGCCGGAGCAGCTGGAATTGGAGGGACACGGCAGATAGCTCAGTCCAGGCCGACTGAGTGGACAGAAGCGCCATCGGGCAGGAATATATCGGACGCCTCTTGCACGGCGCACCGGGCTTGTCTTTTCACGAAAGAGAACGCTCAGGCCACAGAGCTAAGTAACCGGCAGCCAAGGCACCATCGCTTAGACAAGCCGCTCCAGTAACCATGCGCCCGGTGCCTGCACACACAACTCTCCTACCCACCTTCTTGCGGGGGTGCAGGGCGTAATCCGGCACCGGGACAGGCGCCGCGTGCCGCTCCCGTCACCGTGCGATCTCATTCACTTCTCTCTGGCCGGCGTCAGAGCAAGCGAACGAGTCGAACAACTCGACATCAGCGTGACGAGCTGCCAGAGGGCAGAGCCCTGCGAGAGTGGGATGGGACTAGCCAATGGCTCCCGCTGCCAGCTGAGCGCGCTGATGGATGGATGGCACACAGGGGTGGGCCCGGCTGGCCAGAGGAGCCCAGCGCAGAGAGGCCTGTGGAAGTCACTCGCTGACTGAAGAGAAGCCACCGGCAGTAAAAGTGAGTCTTACACAAACGCTGTTGCCCAACGTGTCTTACACCAGCGGGGATGGCACAAGGCGACTTGTGCAGAGAGACAATGTTGCAAGAAGCCGCGAAGACGACACCTCGTTTCCTGCTGGCTGATGACGAAGGACCTGGGTCGCTTGGACTGGCCCATGCCAGCGTAGACACTGTGGAATGCCCCATGCCGCGCGGCAGGCAATGGAGAGAACACCCCAATCTACCCCCCAGAAGCTGCAGAAGAGAGTTTGGAAACATGGGAATACTGCGTACAGAGAAACTGACCCGTCACCTCTTGTGGCCTCCGGGGAGATGTCAATAAACGCTCTCCTGCTGCCTTTACCATTGTGCCTTGGAATTCAGCCGGCCCCCGGAACCGTATCCAGGAAAGTTCTGCCGGGGGAGAAACACCCACGTTGCTGCTCTTCAAGAAACACACCATAGCTCTGGTTGGTCTGGCTGCTTGAGAGACAACTGCCCGGGACGAGCTGGGGGAGGCCTGAGGTTTGTTATCCGGGAGACGCTCCGTACAAGAGATGCGGGAGTCCAGGAGGTGAACGTGTCACCCTGACGACAGCCCAACTGGTAAAACGAATCAGTGGGGAACTGCAGCCAGACAATCACCTGGGGAGGTGTCAACGCCGGACGCGCAGTTTGCGGGAACAGAACTGATGCAGCTGGAGCTGTGCTGGAGATGTGATGAAGTGGGGTTTTCCCCCTTGTTATGTTGTATGTGAGTCTTGCTCTCCTATACTAATACCGTGTGAGCCTCAGTTTCCCTGTGTACTGCCCCAATGCCTAGGCGGTGGGAATTGGGTGTGTGTCTTTCGCTGATGCCCTCAGGGCAGGGGAGGCGGCTCAGAGGTCTGCACGTGGTAACCTGAGACGCAGGATGGGGATGTCACCAGCTCGGTTTCTGACAGCCGGCATGCGACATGTGGAATGCTGTGTGAGAGAGCGAGGGCGGGGGGGGGGGGGAGGGGGGAGGGTCTGCTGCTGTCTGAACTTACAAGACAGTATGCTGACATGCTCTCAGCCCCCCAAAACCCACTCTCTCTCCCTCCGTCACACTTCACCCCACCCCCCCGTATGTAAAGCATGTTGCAGTCACTTGCATGATGGGATAGCTGCCCATAATGCACCGCTCCTAATGCCACTGCAAGTGCCGCAAATGTGGCCACGCCAGTGCGCTGTCAGCGGTCAGTGTGGACAGACTGCAGCACGTTCCCTACTGCGCTCTCCGAAGGCGGGTTTAACTCTCAGCGCTCTACAGGTGCAAGTGTAGCCGTGCCCTTAAGAACACCGACATCCAGACAAATGGAGGTACAGAGGCAAAAGGTGACACAGTCTGTGAATATTGTAGCAAGACTAGCAGGCTCCCAAAGATGAGGATGGAGCCACTGCAAATCATGCAAGATGGACTACCCAGAAGGAAAGGCAAAGAGAATTTAAAAACGTGCACACACATTTCACCGAGTACCCGGCTTTAGTGAGATCTCTCATACACGAGCTAGAAGATGCAATAGAGAAGCTCAAACCAAGAATCCCGTGGGCTGGACCTCCCCTACGGTTCTATGGTGAAGCACTTTGCTCAAGAAATTCCCAGCTACAGTACGGGAACAAATCTACGTGGACACACCCCCAGAACCCCGACCAGGGGTATTCTATCTGCTACCCAAGATCCATAAACCCGGAAATCCTGGACGCCCCATCATCTCAGGCATACCTGCCTCTGGAGATTTCCATTACTTGCATCTGAAGAAGTGAGGTTCTTACCCACGAAAGCTTATGCTCCCAATACTTCTGTTAGTCTTAAAGGTGCCACAGGACCCTCCGTTGCTTTTTACAGATTCAGACTAACACGGCTCCCCCTCTGATACATCTCAGGCATTGGCACTCTTACAGCAGGATTATCTGGCTGTTCGGACTCTCTCCTCAGACCCTACGCTACCAGCATTCCCAGCTATCTTCGAGACACCACCGACTTCCTGAGGAAACTACAATGCATTGGTGATCTTCCTGAAAACACCATCCTGGCCACCATGGATGTAGAAGCTCTTTACACCAATATTCCACATGAGGATGGACTACAAGCTGTCAGGAACAGTATCCCTGACGAGGCCACAGCACGCCTGGTGGCTGAGCTTTGTGACTTTGTCCTCACCCACAACCACTTCAGATTTGGGGACAACTTATACCTTCAAGTCAGCGGCACTGCTATGGGTACCCGCATGGCCCCACAGTATGCCAACACTTTTATGGTTGACTTAGAACAACGCTTCCTCAGCTCTCGTCCCCTAGTGCCCCTCCTCTACTTGCGCTACACTGATGACATCTTCATCATATGGACCCACGGAAAGGAGGCCCTTGAAGAATTCCACCTGGACTTCAACAATTTCCACCCCACCATCAACCTCAGCCTGGACCAGTCCACACAAGAGTTCCACTTCCTAGACACTACAGTGCAAATAAGTGATGGTCACATAAACACCATCCTATACCGGAAACCTACTGACCGCTATACGTACCTACATGCCTCCAGCTTCCATCCAAGACACACCACACGATCCATTGTCTACAGCCAAGCCCTAAGATACAACCGCATTTGCTCCAACCCCTCAGACAGAGACAATCACTGCGGGGGCTTCCAACAGGAAGGAAGATGAAACTCATCCCAAAGGCAGACGGGCCTCGCACTCAGTTCCAGGCTCCCTGGGAGCCGTCTGCCAGCCTCTCATTGACGGATTCCCATCCCAGCCACCCCAATGACCAAGAGGAGTCTGTTTGGATCTCAGCGCGGCGTGTGATAGCGTCTCAGTGAAACTCAGCGAGAGGGGAATCCGTGGCACAACGTACCTCGGGATAGGAGATTTCCTGCAGTACAGGACAATAACAGGAAGACTAAAAGGTACTTTTTCGAAGGCAAGGCCTCAGCGCAGGAGTTCCTTCGGGCTCAGTGTTAAGTCCTCTTTTCCTGCTGGACTCCTCTGGACTGTCCGGCCGCGTGACATCACCTGTATGCCTCTGTGCAGGCGAGATCACGCTGTGTGTCAGGGTTGGACATAGAGATAGTGGAGAATGAACTGAATGAGGACTTGGAACTGTAACCAGATGAGCAAACAAACAAACTTCAGCTGAATCCAACAAAACCGTAAGAGGTTCAACGACTGCAACGGACACTGGATGGAGAACGTGTTAGCGTTGAGGGCGAGCCAGGATACCTTGCAATGACCTTGGACACGGAGCGAAGGTTTGGGCCACAAGTCAGAAGATGGCAGCCGAAGCCAAGAAGAGACTAAACCAGGGGTAGGCAGCCTATGGCACGCGTGCGGAAGGCGGCACACGAGCTGATTTTCAGTGGCACTCACACTGCCCGGGTCCTGGCCACCGGTCCGGGGGGCTCTGCATTTTAATTTAATTTTAAATGAAGCTCCTTAAACATGTTAAAAACCTTTACATACAATAGTTTAGTTCTATATTATAGACTTCTAGGAAGAGACCTTCTAAAAATGTTAAAATGTATGACTGGCACGCGAAACCTTAAACCAGAGTGAATAAATGAAGACTCGGCCCATCACTTCTGACAGGTCGCCGACCCCTGGACTAAACCGTCTACGGTGTATTGCCGACACCAACTGGGCTCACGCGTCAGGACTCTGAGAACGACCTAGGGCTGGAGAGTTCCCCCAATAGGTGAATGTGCCGCTCGGTCTGGTGCCAGTCACCCCGCCAGAGGGGAGCTGTGCAGGTGCCCACCACGCACACCGCAGCCGGGGCTGTAGGATCCCCTCCAAGGGCAGCTTGTGACCAGGAGTCCGATGTTCCCCTCTCGGGAGCCACAGAGAGCAGCAGCTAATTCCCTGCGGAAATCGCCTCGTTCCCCCGGGCCGGGCCCGCGGCTCAGGCGGGATCGGGACCGGGATCGGGATCGGGAACCCCACGGGCCGGACGGGCTCGTCCCCTTGACCCGGGCGCCAGGGCGGGGGGGGCGGGGGGGCGAGAGAGCAGCAGCCTGTGGGGGGGGAATCGGGGCAGAATCGGGCCCCAGGACCTGTCTCTCCCCGGAGCCGGGACCGGGGCACGGGGCAGAACAGACCCGGCCAGTGGAGACTCGTGTCCGCGGCTCGCGGGGGGGGGGGAGAGACAGACCCCGAGGGACCCGCGCGCGGCGCCCGGACGCCTGGGTCCATTCCTGCCCCCCCCCGTGC